GAAGAAGAAGAAGAAGAAGAAGAAGAAGAAGAAGAAGAAGAAGAAGAGAAAAAAATCCCATTGGGAGTAAGAGGGAGGCAGGGCCAGGACACCTGTTTCTCTAGCTTTAGAAGTTGGAAATCTGCTCTCTGGAGTCACGCCCCCCCCCCAACCCATATCCAGCAGAGGATTCGGGGATCTAATCTGATTCTGCCCACCCGGCAACTGGGGAGAGATAAATGACCTTTTCAGAATCCATGACAGGCAGAAGACCCCAGAGCTGTGACAGACAAAGGGTGGGAGGTTTCTCTGTGTACCTCTCTAGCACCAGGCCTGAGCTAAGTGTGCTTGCCATTGCTCATTGCTTGCTTGCTATGCCAGCCCTTGTTCAAATGCTGTGGACTCAGGGCAACCACACTGACCACTCTAGACTCACAGATCTTATAAATAAAACAATAACTACAGTTATTAAAAGTAGATCATAGTGCTGGGCGGTAGTGGCACATGCCTTTAGTCCCAGCACTCAGGAGGCAGAGGCAGGTGGGCCTCTGAGTTCAAGGTTTACCAGGTCTACACAGTGAGTTCTAGGATAGCTGAAAACGTCTCTCAAAAAACTAACCAAATGGGGCTGGAGAGATGGCTCAGAGGTTAAGTGCACTGCCTGCTCTTCCAAAGGTCCTGAGTTCAATTCCCAGCAACCACATGGTGGCTCACAACCATCTGTAATGAGGTCTGGTGCCCTCTTCTGGCCTTCAGGCATACATACAGACAGAATATTGTATACTAAATAAATAAATAAATAAATACCCAACCAAATGAATAAGCAAACTTTTGAAGATGGGATAATTGCCAGGCAGTAATTCAAAGTCACCCTCTGCTATATTGTAAGTTTGAGACCAGCCTGGGCAACAAGGACCCTGTCTCAAAAATTGTTTTGTTTCAATTTTTTTTTTTAATTTTTAGTTGTGGTTGAAGAAAAAGAAGAAATTCGCTTTATTCACCTATCATATTTATCCTAGCCTGCGCATATTTTCTCAACAATCAGCAAAACTGCCAGTGGCATTAAACTTTCTCATACTAATATTCTTGGGATCTGTTTGCTTTTGGTTTATATTTTGTTTGGTTTGAGTGTTGTTGTTGTTATTGTACTGAGACAGAGTTATATAGCGGAAGTTGGCCTTGGATTTTTGATTCTCCTGCCTCTACCTCCAATGCTCTGATGGCCCAGAACTCTCGATCCTCCTGCCTGCCTTTAACTCTCACGTGCTGGGATTACAGGTGTGCGTCACCACACTCAGCCCGATTCGAAGGTCTCATTACATAACCTCGGCCGGTGTCTAACTCTCTTGAGTGCTAATATTACAGGCATAGGGCACCACTTCCAACTCTCCAGTGGGTGTTTTACACTTCTTTTGAATCCAAAGGATCATGGGAACTAAGTTATTAATGTTTCAGCCAGGTGTGGTGGCTCACACCTATAATCCCAGGCTTTAGGAGGCTGAGACGGGAGGATTGGCATAAATTCACTAGGCTAGAGAGTGAGTCCTTATAAAACAACTGTGGGCTGGCCAGACAGCTCACCTTGCCTATTGCCAAGGACAATGTGAGCTGGAGCCTCAAAGCCCACGTGTGATAGAAGAAGAAAACTGACATCCAACTTCCTCAGCAAACTGTGGCACGCAGATTTACACAGACACACACACACACACACAGAGAGAGAGAGAGAGAGAGAGAGAGAGAGAGAGAGAGAGAGAGAGAGAGAGAGAAATACATAAATGTATAACATATAAGCAAAGTAATTATTTTACTTAAAAATAAAACTTGGAAGAGAAGGTCGGAATGGGTCACTGTATTCAGAAGCAGCCTCTGCCGGGTGCTAGCAGAGCGTTAATGTGTGAGAAAGCTGACTCGCAGCAGAGGCACGGAATCTCCTCCCAGGAGACGCTGGCTCCACCAGTGCCTTGGGGAGGAAGTCTTACTTCAGAGTTTCTCTGTGTTTCACACCTGTCTCCGAAGAACTGGAGAGCAAAGCGCAGCTCCGAGGGAGGCTGCAGTCAGGACTGGATTGAACTGGCATTGCGTAACCTTGTTTTGTTCTTCTGGTATTGAATTTCGTGATGACCTCTTTCCACAGCAGTTTCTGCATTTTGTTTGTTTTGTTTTCTGTAGTGCCAGCAGCCAAGCTGGGGCCATATGGGCGCCTTAGACAAGGGCTTATCCACTGAACTCCACCCAAGAGTTCGTCCCCAACCAAGATCCTGCCACTGAACTGCATGCC